TTCTCATGGCCACTGAGGTTGTCATAAGAGCAACTGCTGAGTCCACACACTTGATCACACCATTCCAAATGAAGCTCTGACACTCAACTCCAACTCTTTAACCTGGCTCTCCAGACAGAATGAATGAGTGAAATGGTGACTGAGGGTAGTCTAGGACATTTGAGAGTTTCCTGAGGATCTCATTTGAGCTCTGGTTCTTGGGTTACTAACTTTTTGCAGAATATGATGGAAGCTACTGACACACTCCCAAGAAACATGCAGTTCATGTATGAATGACATCATAAAACTTTTTGGGTGCTAGGATAGGCAGTGTGCTGAATTAAGAATGTCAGTTTCCTCATCATCTGCTTATGAAACCCTGAATATATTCCAAAGGGGAGAACATGGGGGCGCCAGAATCCCATAAAAGGATGAGCAGAGAAATTCTAATCAAGCCACTCATCCTGGCAAAACCCCTTCATCTGTGTTAGTTACACAGCAGACTGTCTGCCATTCTGGTCAGATAAATGGTTGGTGAAAGGTTAGCCATTTAATCAGCTAGTTAACAAGATAATCAGAGGTTAGACAGTAAGGTGAGAGGCAGGCAGCACGCTAGAATGTTGCTCAGTAAGGCTAAAAAGGAAACGGAGTTACAGCCTAAAGAGAAGGCTCATTACGAGGTATTTCCACACCCAGATGGGAACAACTGCTGTAAATACAAGCACCCATACCCCCTAACTATGGCAACCTGAAGAGTCTGCAAGCAGGTGGAAAGAAAACCTGGAGCTCCTTGGGCCTCCAGATGAGGCTTCCATTTGCCGGAAACAAAGAGAGAGAGACCTGCTATGGAAGAACCACCAAGCAAGGGGGAGGCAGGACAAGGGCTCAGGGAGCTCTCTGTAAGCCAGTTGGTGGTCTTGGGGCTGCTCTGAGGGGCTGTCCAGAAGTGGGAGAAAGCAGCTGCAGGCTGAGCCTCTAATCCCTGGATTCCAGCCTGATCCAGGAAAAGGCCCAGGTCAACTGGGGAAAGTGTTCAACCCTGGGAAATACCTTGGAGTAAATTTAATGCAAACCCATTCAGAATCCAAAACTCTCTTGTGTGAGAAGTGATAGAAAGTAACAAACAGAATATAAATAACATCGTTAACAGCAAAAAATATATGGGGAAAAAAACTTCAAAAAATATAAAGGACTTGCTCTATATCAAAAAGGCATTATGAAGCCATACTAATTAAAAGATTACCTTTGGCATGAGCACAAAGAATTCAGTGAAACAGAAGTCAGAGGAACTGATCACAGTATATGGAGGATGTTAGCATTCATTGGCTTAATGATGAAACCACAAGGACAAGATGGTATGGGTCTTTGGGATATCTAGAACAAGAGAGTCAAACTGACTGGTCTTGTGCAACATCAAGATTCCATCTGCCTCTTAAATGTTTCTCTCCACATGCTGACTATTTTTCTTCAGGCAGACACACTCATGGCCACTGGCAGTTCCAAGGTCACCAACCCACAGAACACAACGTTCTCCTATAACAAAAGTTTCAGGTAGGGCTCTTCTTGGCCCATTTGGATCAACTGTCTTTGCCTGAAATAAATGTGGAGCCAAAGGACGTGAAATCTTTAGGATATCTGCCATCCCTTATGTCAAGAGGGCAAGGTTGGCTACTAAAAGAATAAAGGGATGAAGTGCTGATCAGAAATATTCCTTGCAAATGGTAATTTAGCACCTGATAAAGATAGTACTTCAGATTAGTGGAAAAGGAACAAATTAATCAAATGGTGTTGAAATCTGGCTATTCATTTGGGTCTATATTAGATCCTTATCTCACATCTAATCAAGAAATAACATAGAGACTGTTCAACAGACAATTAAATTTAACTTAACGTTTATTTCACATATTTCAAATATAAGACATACATGAGGTAATGATAACTTCCAAGAAATTTTCTCAGGCTGATGATATGAAAGCTCAATGAAGCAGAGACACTTGTTTCAACCAGTGGAATAATGAAGAGCTTTACTTCTGTCAGGCTCACTATATGGAGCTTTACAGGGCTGAAAACAGTCACCCCTGAATCAGTTTCCCCTAAGAACATATCCACCCCTGAGATTGCTGAATGTTAATGTTTCTGAATAATTCTTCAAAAAGCTGTACCTTTAAGTTGGTTAAACCACTGTCAGCTCTAAGAAACAGAAAATCTCAACTTAATGGGTATAATGAGGGAAAAATTATATTTCATATAAAGAAGCTCCAGGGTTGGTTAATTCACCTGCTCAAAACACATCACTGACCCAACTTCTCCCCAGCTTTGTGTTCTGCCATCCTCAGCTACTACCTCAGGATCAAAAGATACATCAGATGTCATGTCCAGACAGAAAGATAGCCAGCAAAATCAAAATCAAAGAGCTGTCTTATCAAATGTCTATTAACCACTGAGGAATCCTGTTGCTCCAGATCTCACTGAATATGCCTCAAAGTTTTTCACTGGCCAGAGTTGGGTCACATGCTTACTTCAAATGAATCACCAACCAGGAAACACTTTTCAAAATTAGATTAGACCACAGAAGCTCTAATGTATAACATAGTGACTACAGTTGAAAACACTGTATTATTATATGATTGAAAATTTGCGGAGAGAACTTAAACGTTCTTACCAAAAAAAAGGTAATTATGCGAGGTGATGGGTGTGTTAACTCAATTAATTAAATAGCGGGAATCCTTTCACCAAGTCTACTTAAATCATCACACTGTACATTTTAAATACCTTACAATTTATTTGTCAATTATACCACAATAAGCTGGAAAAAATTAGGTTAGCTCAATCATTGTTTATTTCCTGAATTATATGGAGGAAAGCTGTACAATGAAACAAAAACAACATTGTGCTGGCATGGAATAGGTAAGGGACAGCTGCTGAGTAGCAAATCAAAAGCCTGTAAAAGCTCCTACAAATCCGCTGCAAGGAAACAATGCAACTCACAGAATAGCTAACACTTGTGACATTCTATACAACAGTCCAAGTACTTTACATTTACTAATTTACCTAATCCTTACTAGAACCCCATGGGGTAGGTAATATCATTACTACTGTTTTTCAGATAAGGAAACTAAGAACAGATGTGAAGGATTTGCCCCAGGTCACACAGCCAGTCTGTAGGAGAACTGGGATTTGGGCCCAGGAAGTCTGGTTCCAGAGTCCCTGCTCTTAACCACTGCGTCAGGGGTCAGTCAACTATGGCCCACAGGCCAAATCTGGCGAACAGCCTGTTTTTCAGTGGTCCATGAACTAAGAATGGTTTTTGGATTTTTAATGAGCTATAAGAAAAAACATGACAGAAAGCATATGCGGCCTGCAAGGTTAAAATATCTACTATATGGCCATTAAAGAAAACGCCTGCCAACTCCTCCACCATGGTTGCCAATGTTAGAAAGTCAAGGCAGAAAACAACAGACAGGATGTTACTACGCTTTAGTTACTGGGTTACATGCAAGTTCGGCTTGGCACTCAAACCTACTTAGGCTCCCCATTTAAATATTTCAGGATATTTAAAGACAGGGTTGTTTGCTTACTGAGTGCATTTTATGGTGATAAGTTCAATGAGCATTACTATTAACAGATGCTTTCTTAAATCCAGGCTTGTGCTAAATGTAAAAATTGTTTTCTTGACTTCTGTATTGCGTACATAAATAATTGTTTTTAGAGAAATCTGTGGCTGACAAAAACACTGTTTGGCTTCTTTATTGAACACACAATTCAGTAATGGCCATACCCATTAATATATGCCAAGAAATACTAGAGGAAAATGTGTGTAATATGATACTTTAAATGTGTCAAATAGTATTTCACATGAAATATTTGTGAAGACTCTAGTGATATTTACAATAAGAAATGATAATATACATTATAGTGGTTATTAAGGATTTTGATTTTTTAGTTTGATTCTGTTGGCTTCCAGTGAAAAATTTAAACACAAAAAATATCAATTATGAAAGATACATATAAAAGTCCCCCACAGCTCAAGGACTCTTCACACATCCATTTAATCCATACATCTGATTCCTTCAAAATATTTGTGACCGGGGCTGGCTCCGTGGCCGAGTGGTTAAGTTTGCACGCTCCGCCGCGGTGGCCCAGGGTTCGGATCCTGGGTGCGGACATGGCACCGCTCGTCAGGCCACGTTGAGGCAGCATCCCACATGCCACAACTAGAAGGACCTGCAACTAAGATATACAACTATGTATGGGGGGTTTGGGAAGATAAAGCAGAAAAAAAAAAAAAGAAGAAGATTGGCAACAGTTGTTAGGTCAGGTGTCAATCTTTAAAAAAAAGAATATTTGTGACCTTTTATAAAAACATATGTTCTATAGTGACTACATCCATAGGAAATATTTTATCATATTTAATGAAAATTTTGCTACCACAACTTAAATATTTTTTCTTAAGAAAAAAATTCTCTGGCTTTTCTAAATTTAGTTTCTCTAAGAATTCTCTAAAATATAATAAAGTATGTTTTGCTGAAAACTTTCAGAAAACCAAACATTTACAAGGTTTTATTCTATTTCATTTACCTGAGGTTCAAGGAGTTTCACCTTTTGGTAAAGGCTTTTCTACATTTGTTGTAATCTCTAGATTTCTTGACTCCAATTTCTCCAATTACAATGAGTTTGATTTATGGATGAGGCTTCTAAACAATCAGGACGTTGAGAGGTGTTTCTACTCTTGTGTGAGTTCACCAACACACGGTGTGTGCTGACCTCTCAACAGAAGCCATCTACATTCCTACCCCAGAGGGAACACCAAAGATTGCCATGGAGCCCATTATGTCTCAGACCTGGAAGTGAATGACATCATTATGCTCACATCCTATTGGCCAGATATCATTCACATTGTCCTATCTGGATGCAAGAGAGTCTGAGAAATAGAGACTAGCTCCATGCCCAGGAAGAAAAGGAAGTGCACACTGGTAAAAGCACTGCCAGGGTTTCTCCCATGTGAGTTCTCTGACGTAAACTAAAGGTTGATTTCTAGTAGGACTTCTCACATACACTACATCCACTGAGTTTCTTCCCTGCATACACTGTCTGTCATACCAAAGGCTCTGAATTAGGGTAGGAGGGTTCTGCACATCCATCTTTACATCATTGCCCTTCTGTGTGTATTCTCTGATGTGTGAGAAGAGCTGGTTTGTGGTTGAAGGTTTTCCCACATACATTACATTTATAGGGTTTATCCCGAGTGAATTCTCTTATGTTTAACGAGGGTTGAACTATCATAGATTTTCCACATTTGTTACATTCATAGGGCTTCTCTCCTGTGTGTGTTCTCTGATGTACACTGAGGGATGCCTTCTGGCAAAACGTTCTCCCACATTCTTTGCACTTATAGGGTTTCTCCCCTGTATGAATTCTCTGATGTTGAATGAGTTGTGACTTTTGGCAGAATGCTTTCCCACATTTGTTACATTCAAAGGGTTTCTCCCCCGTATGAATCCTCTGATGTTTACTGAGTGTTGATTTCTCAGAAAAGGTTTTCTTACATTCAACACATTCATAAGGTTTCTCCCCTGTATGAGTTCTCTGATGTTTAAGGAGAACTGACTTCCCACAGAAGGTTTTCCCACATTCATTGCATTCATATATCTTCTCCCCTGTGTGAAGTCTTTGATGTTTGTTGAGGGTTGACTTCATATAATACATTTTCCCACATTCGCTACATACATAGGGCCTCTCCCCTGAAAGTATTCTCTGGTGTACAGTGTTTTGACTTTATACTGAATGATTTCTCACACTCATTACATTTATAAGGTTTTTCTCCTGTGTGAGATCTCTGATGCACAGTCAGGTCTGACTTTTGGGAGAAAGATTTTTCACATTCACTACATTTGTAAGGCTTCTCCCCTGTGTGTGTTCTTTGATGCTGACGGAGAGCAGAGTTCTGGTAGAAAGTTTTCCCACACTTAGTACATTCATAGGGTCTCTCTCCTGTATGAATTCTTTGATGTACAGTGAGGGCTGGCTTATGGTAAAAAGATCTCCCACATTCATTACATTTATAGGGCTTTTCCCCTGTGTGTGTTCTCTGATGTACTGTGAGGTTTGACTTCCGGAAGAAAGTTTTCCCACATACATTACACTTATGGTATTTCTCACCCATGTCAATTCTAAGATGTTTCTTCCAGAGAACTGACTTACCACGGGTTTCCCCACATTCATTAAATTTACAGTGAGTCTTCCTTGAGTAACTTGTCTGATGTAACATGAGGTTTGACTCATCCCTGAAGATTTTCTCACATTTACTATAATCACAGAGTTTCTCTCTTGTGTGAGTTCCCTTACGTGTAGTGAAGACAGCACTAACTGTGGAAGGCTTTCACGCATTCATCATATTCACATAGGTGCTCCACAGGCTGAATCTCTTGTTGCTGAATAAAATCCTCACTATGATAGAAAATGCTCTTATTTTGATTAAATTCATTAAGTTTTTCTGTAGTATAAGTTTTCTCATGATTAATATCAGGAAGCAATTTCTCACACTCATTGGCATCATCAGATTTCTTTCCTGAATAGTTTCTATTGTTAGTGGTTAACTCTGACGTATTTTCTAAACTGATTCCATCTGGGTTAGATTTACTGGGCATTTTTCTAGAAGGAATAGAGTCTATGCCCAGAAAAAATGTTTTGCTTAATATATTCTCTCTCTGTGTAATCACTTTTTTTTATTGATAAAAGCAGTTTGCCATATAAGTCTGTCTTGGTTTTCTTTGTTCTCAGTCGTGCTATCAACTTTCAAGTCTTCTAGAAATAAGAAAAATTAAATGCACCTTATGAATCTGAAACTACCTACAAAATTGGGATAATACACAAACACCTTTTATTTATCTGACTCTTTGATTTCAGACCCAGTCTTCTGAGATAGAGTAGTACCAAAGAACTATTTTCCATTCCCTCCACTTTTCTAAGGAGCTGGAGGCAAGAGGTGACAATGAACCAACCAACTAAACAAAGATACTACCATGGAAAGGGGGAGAATAAAATTGGCAAAGAATGTACATATATTTCTTTCAGTCTTCATGAATATGCCCTCCAAAACGAGTAGAAGGGGTGAAATAAACATAACGAATAGAGACCAAAGGATTCAGTAAGAGTGGACGAATTACCAAGAGAGGACTTCACAGTAAGATATGCTCAATCAGAAAATTATGTAGTAAACGTGACATGCAAAACAAGTAGACAACGGTGTTGTTCCAAGAAATTATCAGAGGAATGAAAGTGTTTAGAGGGGGTGGATTTGAGTCTAGGGGCTAATTTTGGTGCTCCTACCTTCTAATATACACCCAGAATCCAATCACATTGCATCCTCTGTCAGCTTGAACCTAGTCCATGGCACTATCGTTTTCCTAACTGGTCTCCTCGCTTCTACTCTGGCCACCCCTCTAAAGGATTTGCTCACGTGGCAGTCAGCTTCCTGTGTCTCTCTCCTGCTAATACGTAAGTTACATGAGATCAAGGGACTTATTTCCCCCACTGCTATATCCCTTTCATTTAGAACATGACTGGCATGGAGCAAGTTCTCCATTAATATTGGTTAATTAATTAATTAATTCCTGAAAACAAAAGAAGTCCTTGACAATGAAGGAACTGTAGGCAACTGAGAAGGCTAGAAGAAAGGAGACTAATGAAGATAAAATATTTATTATGAGATAGGAATGAAATTCAAGAAGCAGGTAATAGGGATTAAACTCTTAAGCCAAGCAAAAAAGAGAATGCTTATGTCTGAGAGTGTATCTGGTGGTGAATTTAGGTATCTGAGGCACGCAGGTTGAATATCCTCAGTCACTTCCAAACGGAAGGAGTCTCTAGAAAGACATTCTTAAAAACTGCTTCAAAAATGCCTACACCTAAAACAACCTCCCAGGATCTAATTTCCCCTGGATTACTCACCTAGGTAACCCTGGCTTGCAAATTCTTCCTCTAATATCCATGCTGCTTCCTGCTCTAACTTGAAGACCTCTTCTGGTTTGGCAATGCACTGCCCTGATAATGGAAAGTGATACATGACACAGGAAAAGCTGCTGGGCTTCAGGAACTCAGAGGAAAAACTGCAGTCCAGCTTTAGGAGCTGCACAATGAAGGGGCCCAATGGGATCTCTCAATGGGGAGGTGAAAACACAAACCATATTCCTAGTATCCAAACCTAAATACCATTAAACTCTAAAAGAGATCCATATTCTTTGGTAACGAAGAAGGGATACCCCTGATGCTGTTACTCAGAGAAGTTCGCTTACCCAGTGAGATGAGGATGTTGTAGTTCTCCAGCATCACGTCCCTGTACAAGGTCCTCTGATCAGGGTCCAGCTGACCCCACTCCTCCTGGGTGAAATTAACAGTCACATCCACAAATGAAATTTATCCCTGTAACAGCACACATCTGATCATTCTGACATGTTCAAAACTGTACAACAGAGAAAAGATATTTAGAAACTAATTCTTCACCACGTTCACTATTGATTTTATTAGAAAAAGTTTATATAAGATATTTTGTGTTCTCTTTTTTGTGTTATATGTGGGGGAGTAAGGGAAAATAGTAAAAATACCCAATTAATTAATTCATGCATAATGTATGTACACACACGCATAAAATACATTATATGCATGAAAGTGCCCTAGTTTCTGTGGATATTAAAATTCAAAAAACACTATTTCTACCCTCAGGAAGCTTCCAATCTGGTATGGATGCAAAATGGATTAACAGCACAAAATCAGGAGAGAATTGAGTTTGGGGCTTTAATGATATAAAATGCCCCGATCTGTTCAGAGACTAGATGGTATCATAATTTCGGGGTTATTCCTTTATACAAGAGTTCTCCAAAGTATCTGATGACTCACCCTGCCAGGAAAGACTTCTAAGCATCTACACACTTGTTGTAATAGATAGATATGTATAAATGTTTATATCTATACACGTAATCCACACTTTACACAGTTCTGATATGTACAAATTTCAGTTACCACAATTTAGTTAAACAACTCCACTCCCCCAACAACATGGGTCAGATTTCAGTTATCATGGCAACTGTGAGTAATCACATAAAGTACAAACAGCTTGCTCTTCAGTCCACAAATCACTACATAAGCAACAGACGCCCATCGTGAACAATGACTACATCATTTTTTTCAAAGTCTGCTAGTGATTGGTCACTGCGCATTCATTACTCAGTTCACACACAGACAGCAAAGCATGCGGTTGTGTTGCCTTCCTGTCTCCCAGAAGTACATTTGCAAAAATGGTTATATGCAAAAGAGGACTGGCCAACAAACATGAAGGAGGAATAAAGAAATGAAAAGTGATTAAATTAGAAGTGAAATTAAAATTGAAAATAAATGAAGTTTTAGAAGAAATAGCTGACAGTGGGAACGTTGACACTGCTGCCACTTGAGACACTCTACATCTGCAGCCAGAGGAACTTAGTGAGGGGGAACTGGTGCTAAATATCAGTTGTACTATTTTCTAATTTCCATATAGATTTATCATCAAACAGTAAGAGAGATTTTTTAACGTCCTGACAAATACTTTTAAAGGTCACGGAACAAGTACAATTCTCTCTACTGACTAAAATTTCTTTGCATGGCTTCAGTGTACACGGACATTTTCACAGCCCTACCCTACAAGACAAAGTGAGAACTGCCTGCCTGTGTTGCATTTAGGTGTCTGCATATATTTAGTATATAGTATATGTAGCCACCATGGATGTCTAAGCTCAAAGTGGCCAGTGTGCTGACTGACCGGCTGAGGAATTAACTGAAGGACTGCCAGACCTCTCTGGGCATTTGCTACTCTGTACAACACACAGGTGATGGCTGAAGGATAAAGCAGATTAAACAAAATATTTTACATAAATGCTTTGGGGGGTCTGGCAACAGCCAATTCAGTCAGAAAGAAAATGGACAGGGATTTTGTTTTAAGGCAGGTCTTTGATGAGACAGCTCATGATGGCCTGGCTCCACAGAGCGGAAATCTGCACTTCAGGAACCAACAGTCCCTTCAATTCCTTATATGCTCACTGCCAATAACCCAAAAGGACATCCATCAGTTTCTATCTGTCCAATAATTTCATTTACAGATCCTTGAAGTCAGTTCTTTCATTGAGGAGAGAAACAGATAAAGCAACAGAATTCCACATTTCTGAATAAACTCACATAGCTACCTACATGAATCGAACCACATCTCCACTTATAAATATAAATGGACAACAAAGGTTCACTGGAAATTTGAGAACCTCTAACAAAAAAACTTAACTGAAAAAGAGAATATGAAGAAAACAAAATTACAGTACGAATCAGAACGAACTGTTTTTGGAGACACTGGGTCAATAGTATTCAAGACAATATTATTTCACCTCACATCCATTAGGACGGCCACTATTAAAAATAAACAGAAGGGGCTGCCCAGTGGCGTAGTGGTTAAGTTCACCTACTTCACTTTGGTGGCCCGGGGTTCACAGGTTTGGATCCCGGGTGCAGACATACACACTGCTCAACAAGCCAAGCTGTGGCAGTGTCCCATATACAAACTAGAGAAAGACTACCAATGGATGTCAGCTCAGGGCCAATCTTTCACACCAGAAAATAAGTAAATAAATTAATCAATTAAATAAAATAAATAAAAACCAGAAAATAAAGTGTTGGTAAGGCTATGGAGAAACTGGAACTGTTGTGTACACTGTTGATGGGAACGTAGAATGGTACAGCCACTGTGGAAAACAGTAAGGTGGTTCCTCAAAACATTAAAAGTAGAATTACCATATGTACTGGTCGGCTAGGGCTGCCATAACAAAGAACCATATACTGGGTGGCAGTAAACAACAGAAATTTATTTTCTCACAGTTCTGGAGGCTAGAAGTCCAAGATCAAGGTGTCTGCAGGTTTGGCTTCTCTGTAATTTTCACTCCTTGGCTTGCAGATGGCAGCTCTCTTCCTAACTCTTTACGTGGTCGTTCCTCTGCGCTCACCCATACATCCCTGGTGTCATTTTGTGTGTCCTAATCTCCTGTTCTCATAAGGACTCCAGTCACACTGGATTAGGTCCCACCCTAACAACCTCATTTTAACTTAATTACCCCTTCATAGTCCCTGTCTCCAAATATTGTGACATTCTGAGGTCATGGGAATTAGGGCTTCAACATACGAACGTTGAGAGGACACACAACACCAGATGATCCAGCAATTCTACTTCTGGGAACATACTCCAGAGAACTGAAGGCAAGGTCTTCAAGAGATATTTTTACACTCGTGTTCAAAGCAGCATTATTTAGAAGAGCCAAAAGGTGTAAGCAACCTGTGACCATCCATGGATGAAAGGATAAACAAAATGTGGCATATATACCACAATGTAACATCATTCAGACTTAAAAAGGAATGAAATTCTAATATGCGCTACAACATGGATGAACGTTCAAAACATTATGCTAAGGGAAATAAGCAGATGCAAAAGGGCAAAAACTGGATGATGCCACTTACAGGAGGTTCCTAGAGTAGCCAAACTCACAGAGACAGAAAGTAGAATGGTGGCTGCCAGGGGCTGGATGCAGGGGAAATGAGGCGCTATTGTTTAACAGGAACAGTGTTTCAGTTTTATAATATGGAAAGTTCTGGAGATTAGTTATGCAACAATGTGAATATAATTAACACTATTGAACTATAAACTTAAAAATCATTAAGATGGTGAATTTTACCACAATGGAAAAAAAAAAGAAAAACACTGCTTCCATTAAATAAAAACCAGCTGTTATAACAGGAAAGCATTCTAATAAGAAGGCAAGGAGTATTCAGAAATCAAAAACTTCACTGCTGCACTGTGAAACAAAACCCCTTACAGAAGTGCTAGAGACATTCAGGGTATTTAAAAACATTTCCCAGATTACAGAATTAAAAAAAAACCAGAGGCGTAATCATACAACAATTAAGAAATGTAGAAGGTAAAGCTAGGAGATGCAATGTCTTTTTTTTTTTTGAGGAAGATTAGTCCTGAGCTGACAACTACTGCCAATCCTCCTCTTTTTGCTGAGGAAGACTGGCCCTGAGCTAACATCCGTGCCCATCTTCCTCTACTTTATATGTGGGACACCTACCACAGCATGGTTTGCCAAGCAGTGCCATGTCCGTACCGGGATCCGCTGCCGCAGTGGAACGTGCGAACTTAACTGCTGCGCCACTGGGCCAGCCCTGCAATGTCACTTTAAAAGAAATTACAGGAGAAAAAAATAGAGAATAGAGTGGAAGAAAACAATTAAGGAAACAGAATATTCCCAGAGCTTAGGACACAAGTTGTCAGAACAAAAATGTACACTCAACTACCACACAGGGGTTCTGAGAAAAGAGCAAATCTAAACACAACCCTAAGAAATTTCTAAACTCTAATAATAAAGAAATCTACAAACTTGCAAAACTACAACAAAAATTACACAATTATAAAGAATTTAGATTTCAACTGACAGCTACTTGTCATTTACAACCCCAAATACTAGGAAAAGAATTCTGAACCGGGAATTCCATTCCTAGCCCAACTATGACTAATGTATAAAACAAAGAAATACCAATACAATGAAAGTAGATCACCCATGCACCCTCCTGCAAAATATTACAGGATATATGCCACCAAAACAATAATAAAAATGAATGGAAGGAAGAATTCATAGCATTTGAGGAATGGCAGTGACCAAATATGAGACCAATAAAAACTGGTTTATGTGGGAATTGGCTGTAAAAGGGAGATGATTTTGTGGCTTACTAAGTATGTCTACTCATCCCATTAAGTTCCAAGCAAAGGTTAACATAATCTTCATATCCATGGTAGACGTAACAATGCTGAGACTCCCTGAGACATCTGAGGTGGGGCTGCTCCACTGAGCAACAGAGAAGCTGAAGCCAGTCATGGAAGTTTACTAACGTGCAAGCGGAAATGAGGTCATGAAGTCAGTTACAGAAGACAAGGACATCGGTGTTCGTGTCACTAGCAGTCTGCTCCTCATGCCCCGTTTAGGAAATCTGCAATTCTCATTCCACCAAAGAGCTCTCATATTCCAAGTGAGAAGCTGCCTCACATCTAAGAGAGCCAGGCAGTTTGACGTGGATTGTGATCCAGTTATCAACTGTATTTATCCCCTTGAATAAACTAGTCTCTCTTACAGTCCCTTTCTCTGGGTTCACCAGTTTCAACATCTGTAAAATGGGTATAATTACAGCACTTGAAGTTGGTGTTGGGATCATATGAGCTAATTCAGAAAAAGCTATTAAGTTACTACCTGGAACACAGTGTGCTCACACATTCAGTTATCATTTTGGCTGGCTGAGGAGGAAGGTGTTAAAGCAGCTGGCCTGCGATATGCTCAATTCTATCAGAGTAGAATTTTCATGAAGGAAAGAAGACAGGAAACCCGGTCTAACCTCCTTGTAAATAAGTTAATGATATTTGCCGAGAGGAAGAGACCTGATCCACATAATACCCCTAGCAGAATGTCTGCAGCTCAAGAATCACTTACAGCAAATTAAATCAGAATCTATGGATTGATGAGGCATGGACTCCTGAAGAATGTCACATAAGCTACGTAACTTTCTGGAGATATAAAATGGAGATACTTCATAACTTAAATGCTCCCCACTGTGTGAAGCAACCCTGCATACCCTCTCTCAGAGATCCCATCTCCTATTCTGGGTGAGAGAAAGTGTGTCCTGCGCAGAAAGGAAGAACTGGGAATCCATGTCTTTCTGTTTCATCTGTGCCTCTAGATTGTCTGTATCCCTGAAATGATTATTAAACCTTGATAATGGTAAGATCTCTAATTTGTGTAAGTTTGATTTGACAATCTGATCCTGTGTGTTAGCTCACTGACCTCCTCTTATATCTAAACATTTTAATCTAATTATCTTTGAAATTAAGAGAGCAGAAACCAGATAAATTAGTTATGTCTAACTACATAACTACACTTGTTAAGAATGGATTAAAAAAATTTAGCATATTAAAAAAGGATTCAGATCATTTCTATAAAACATAGGATGTATGAGGAAGGGACAGTAAGACATGCACAAGGTCAGTCTAGAAAATAAAAATTCTTGATGCTGGTTGAAAAAATACACATATAAGCCTATGTTAAACATTTCAAGGATAACCAATAATGGAATAAAAACAGAATACTGAATTTTCAAATCACTAGAGGGGATAAATATAATCAATAGAGAAAAAGTAAGGAAAGGAAAGAAAATGTGATAAATAAAAATACAAATAAAGACAGAGAGACTAATCACCATCAGCAACCATAATAAATGTGAACGGGTTAAATTCCCAATATAAAAGGAAATCTCATGTATGGCATAAAAACAATCCAGCCAAGTACTGTTTACCAGTCATGCAATTAAAAAATAAATATATATTCATTTATATCTGTATTTATATATACAAATACAACATACATATTAATATGTATACATGTATTTATTTATACACTACACACACACAATATAGAAAACAGGTCATCACTTTTACTCACAGCTTTTTTATAGGGCTTGTGATGGTTAGTTTTATGTACCATCTTGGTAGGCTATAGTGCATAGTTATTTAATGGAACTCTAAGTGTTGCTGCAAAGGTAATTTGTAGATGTGGTTAATATTTAGGCTATAGTTCACAGTTATTTAATGGAATACTAATCTAAGCGCTGCTGTGAAAGTAATTTGTAGGTGGTTAATGTTGACAATCAATTGACTTTAAGGAAAGGAGATTACTCCCAATAATGTGGGTGGGCCTCATCCAAACAGCTGACGGGCTTAAGGGCAAAACCAAGGCTTCCCAAAGAAGAAGGAATTCTGCTTTGAGACTGCAGCACCAACTCCTGCCTGAGTTTCCAGCCTATCAGTTTGCCCTATAAATTGTAGACTTGCCAGCCCCCACAATCACGTGAGCCAATTCCTTAAAATGAATGAATATACACATGAATACATGTGTATATATGTATCCCCAAACACATCCTATTGGTTCTGTTTCTCTGGAGAACCCTAATGCAGGGCTTAAGGAATATTTATGTCCCTCTGTTTTTCTCCTCCCTCTCTCTCAAAGGTCACCAAAAGCTGAGATGGGGAACAGAGTCTCCTCTAGAACCTTAGGTGGGTGTATAGCCCTGACAACACTTTGATTTCAGATTTCTGGCCTCCAGAACTGTGAGAGAATAAATTTCTGTTGTTTTAAGCCATCAAGTTTGTAGTAACTTGTCACAGCAGCCACAGGTAACTAACATCCCAACTCTTTGCAAAAACCCTCCAACAGTTTGCTTTGCTCACTAAGAATATATCAGACCAGTGAAAGCTCTCATTTACTTAAAGAGGCACAAAATTCAGCTTTTGAATTTCAAATTTTGAGTAGTTGTCTCATCCTTTGATATAGTTAAAAATCAAGAGAGTATGAAATCAGTCTAGAAAACTAGTAAGGTAAGAATTATAATGGACCAAGGATGAACACACGGGGATAAGCTTTGCTAAAAAGTAGAGGAAGAAGACAAATACCACAGAGCAGACAGAAGAAATCATCAACTTGAATGAATTGAGTTATGCTTTGGCTCTCTGCCCTCTGTGCCAATAAAGAACAATCAGAAGTGAAAATCATAGGCAGCAATTCATTTTAGGCTTGTTAAGTGAGGTTGCCAACTACCTCACTTTTATTAAGACAAACATTTTTTCAGGCTTCAGGCTTTTGTTTTGTCTTATGGTCAAAGTAAGCATCTTCCTTTTGTACAGAGTATCAGAGATAAATATACACAGAATTATTGTAATAAAAATCACAATTACACAATATAATGTATAATATACACTAACATAAAACAATTATAATTATGATTATCTGCACATAATTAACATGTTGACTTTTCCTTGTTTTAGATCTGTTAACTCTATATATTCCCTGATCATTTTTTATCACTTTAATCTTTTATCATTTTATGCAATGGAAAACAATGTGGGAAATGAATAAACAAACAACTCACCTGGAATTGGCTCTCTTCTTGTTCTTTGTGAGAAAGTACAGAGAAGGCTGAATGCATAGCTATGGGAGAAGAAAACAGGAAAGGGTCATGCAAGATGTGGCTGATATGGACCTTTGAGGTTCAGCTTCCTAAAAATCTCTTCCTACCAGCTGGTTAAATGGCCCCCGAGGGAAAACATTTCTTTGGCCCCTGAGAAGAGTCAGCAAGAATCATGTGAAGGGAGAATTCACATGTGCGACTCTGACAGCCAAGCCATAGAGCTAAAGAGCATGGCTGAGCAATTTAACACTGAGCTTACTTCCTAATGACTTATTGATTTCCTTCTTCATTTAGAACCAATTCAAGACTAACTTAAACAATACTACATAGGAAGACAAACTTATTTTTTCATTACCAATGTTTCAGGAAAAATACTCAAGACATTTATTTACTTACATTCCTACTGAGTTGCTTATCCTTGGAGTGAGAGAAATCACTCTGCAGAAAGGGATGGGGTTGCTTTTGAGAAAGGTCTATTTTAAAACTTGTTTGTTTCTAACTAGGTTATAATAGGACCTGGTGGGTGAGTGACCTGTTATAACGTGGACAGTGTTTTTACACTAGGTGACTCTGGGCAAGTTACTTGTACGCTCAGAGTCCAAGTTTCTCAGCTTTGACAAGAAACAGACACATGTGATCCTATTTTGAGACTCAATAAAGTCAGGGTAGATGGAGCAGCAACATACCTTCAGTGGGCACCCATCACGATGGATATCATATGAAAGCTCAATCCGGACGAGTGAGTGGAAGTTGAAGGCACGGCATGTTTATTAAAAGCTGGAGATAAAATTCCTTCAGCTGTGTCTAATGATCTCTCTCTGCAGACCATGCGCACAGGAACCCTCCAATGAATTAATATTTCCAGGCAGCCTGCCACTCGCTCACCACTCAATGCCCCACTCATCCATCTTTTCTGAAACTTGATCCAGACTTTTCACCATCATGGTGAGGCCTTCTGGATGTGGTGATATTAGTGAGGCACTGCTCATTCTGAGCAGGATAAAGGATCCCTACTTCAGGCTATGCAATCCTAGCCACAGCCTTTCTGGCAGTTTCCTGCCTCCACTGTGAAGTTGTGATGAGAGGGTAAGAGCCGTGATTTTCAAGGTGGAATTCCTGTCCTTGGGGCCCCCTCCTTCTTTACTTCACAAGAGCTGCTTTCTTCCAAGGGAGCTAGAACATAGGCTTAAAAGGGAAAATCACTTTATTTAGAAGTTTCATTCAGGGCCCCAAAACTCACAGAACTGACTTATCTAAATTCTAAGGCCACTGAGGATGCTGAAGGTTGCTAGATGGTGCAGGAGTCTAGGCAACATATTATGTAGCTGGACCCAAGGGTTCTGAGATGCCATAAGGCGAGATTCAGTCCACACACTTAAGGACTGTTTCCCTGAACCCTGAGGGACCGGCTGTGAGGAATACAACGCTGATTTTAGGCAGAGTCGTCTACCGTGGCTGTGAGGCCTTGAGTACCTCACTTGCACCCCCTCACCCTGTTTGTTTATGAAAACACAAAACAGTTACATAAAGGCCACTACGAGGATTCAATAAAATTTAGCCAATGAAAACAAAGTATCTTCCAAACTAATAAGCTAACATTAACTACCAAGTTCTGTGCCATATGTAAAAACTCCATGTACATACTTTAAAGACGTATGTTACAAATGTAATTCTCAGAACAACTCGGCGCTGTTGGGCACATCTTAATATTCTCGTTTTTTACATGAAGAAAGCCAGTCTCACGTAGACCAACACCTCGCCGGTAGTACCTGATTTACACCCGCCTCCAAAGCTCACGCCCCCGCCCGCAATCGCGCGGACTCTGCAGCCTCCCCGGGCCCCGCGACCCGCGCCGGGCCGCCCCCACCCGCCCTTCGAGCTCTCGTGCTGGGGGCTCCTCCCCACCGCCGCCCCGCCTGCCCCCGCGCCACGCAGGCCCCCGTGGGCCCTCGCCCAAGCATCCGGGGCTCACCTGCCCCTCCCACTCGGGGAGCACTACCACCCTGAACGCACGCACACTTGGAGGCTTCAGGGCCTTCTCCGCGGGGAGCAGAAACGGGAGGAATACACCCGAGAGCCCCGAGGACACACGCGCACAACGAGCCCCGAAAGACTGGCTGCCTGAACACTGCGCAGAGCGAGCCGAGGAAACGTAGAACTACATTTCCCATAAGCCGCGGCGCCACGCCCTTCCCTGAAAGTTTCCCGAAGGGCGATGGCTTTTCTCCGGGCTTCTCCCTGGGGCTCCTGGGGCCTGGTTGTTTCAGGACCGCCAGAGACTGCAAAACACTGCAGGGCAATGTGCAGTTGTTGAGTGAATCTGTTTAAAAGAACAAACTTTGTAAAGGACGTTTTACGCACCATTAGGGAACGTGAACTGCACCATTATAAGAAGGGTAATTTTGTCCGTTTCACTGAGAACAGTGCCCCTTCACCTCCAAATTCATGTCCATCTGGAACACCAGAATGTGAGTTTATTTCCGAATAGGGTCTTTGTAGGTTTAATTAATTAGGTTAAAAATAAGTCATACTGGATTAGGGTGAGCCCTAATTCAAAGACTGGTGTCCTTACAAGAAAACAGAGAAGACGGAGACATAGGAGAATGCCGTGTGAACATGGAGGCAGAGATTGGAGTGATGAGTCTACAAGCCAAGGGATATCAGAGCTTGCCAGAATCCACCAGAAGCTAGGAGAGAAGCACGGAACAAATTCTTCTTTAGAACCTGCAATAAGAAACAACCCTGCTGACACCTTGATTTTGGACTTCTAGCCTCTAGAACTGTGAAAGAACACATTCCTGTGGTTTTAAACCACCCAGTTTGTGGTACTTCATTCGGGCAGCGCTAGGAAACTGATACATTGTTCAGCTGTGTAGCTGGCAATCCAGGCACATTTGTCAGGCTTCCCTGGCCCCATGAGCTGAATCTAAGCCTTGATTTTGGTCTCAATCCTGGAATATAGATGGACACCCTGTGTGATGGTATAACCAGATGTTTACCTGAGTGGCTCAAATCCGATCATCCTGAACCAACATCTGTTGGTTCCACCAATGTTCACTGTCAAAGGGTCCTTTTCTGTGGGAGTCCACATGGGTGATAACAGGGGTAAATGATCCAATCTGCTGTCATAATGTCAGACTGCACCGGGGCTAGGACTTGATCTTGCTGCCAGGCACTGAACCACCCTGCCATCCTGTTGGCTCCTGCTCATGAGTCAGTGAATATATAGCAAGGGGCATTTTGAGGGTGTGTTTTCCAGGGCAAGCACCAGAGCCCACAACTCTGCCTTGAGTGGAGTTTTCTTTTTAATGTAAAGTTTCTAACAATTTTCTCTGTGGTTGCACAGCCATAGCGGCTCAGTGCACCTGTCAGCCTTTAACTTAGAATCTGTTCGTCAACCAGGTCCAGGCCTCCTCAGGGACTTCAGTGTTCCAACACAGCCAAGGAGCATGAGGTGCTGGCACAGACTGCAGCCTCTGGGAGAGCCACATCTGGAGAGGTAAATGGCCATATTTTCATGTAAGTGGGAGATCTGATTGATGCCTGGGTGGTTCTAGTTTGCATAGGGGTCAGTCTCTGACACTTGCAGCTCAAAAGGCTTACTAGGACTAATTGACCCAAATGGGAGAGCAATCTGTACAGCCTGTTGCATAGTCAAGTGCTCCTATCTCTACCAGCTCTTTAATCAAGATGTTTATCTCTCTCCCTAATCTGTACTGCTTTACTGCTATTAGATGACCAGGCAGTGGAGAGCTGGGCTGTGCACTTGTCCCAGTACCTCTGTCCAAATTGTGGCATTTCCCCGCTGGGAACATTCCTTACAATTAACAGAAGCATCACACATACTTAAAGCATCAATTTTTATAATACATTTAACAGTATCAGTTATAGCCACTTGAGTGTATGGAATGTCCATTTCATAAAACATGATACGGTTTAATTTCAAAGGCTGAAACAGCCAAACTAACCTGATCAAAGTGTTAACAGCAATGAGGCATCACTAACGGCCCTTCAAAGGTTCAATGCAGTCAGTCTATCAGGATCATGTGGGGCCAAATGTGGCCTCACCTCTAGCCACATGTTCCACATCATTGTATTTTGTGAATAATTTGTTTTCTAGTTTCACAGGTCTGTGGACAAAGAAGAATTCTGCCCCAGGATGGACCATACCCAGAGTCGCACTGCTTCCTGATTTAGAAGTTGGGATTTGCGACTTTTTGAGTTGATTATATTTAGATGAGATTTTTGGATTTAAAGAGAAGGCTGGAATGGGTTAAGATCTGGGGGGAATTGAGACTAGGTGAATGTACTTGGCATGTAGGAAGGACATGAGTTTTGGGATGCCAGAGGGCAGACTGTTTTTGGTTGAATTGTGTCCCCCCCAAAAGATATGCTGAAGACCTGACCTGTGCTACCTGGGAGTGTGACCTTATTTGGAAATAGTGTCATTCCAGATGTAATCAAGTTAGATGAGATCATACTGGATCAGAGTGGGCCCCAATCCAATGCCTGGTGTCCTTGTAAGAGGAAATTTAGACACAGAGATATACAGGGAGTACACCAGGTGATCACAGAGGCAGATATTGGACTGATGCATCTACAAGTCAAGGAATGCTAAGGACTGCCAGCAACTATCAGAAACTAGGAAGAGGCAAGGAAGGAGTCTTCCCTGTAGGCGTCAGAGAACACATGCCTGTGCCAACACCTTGATTTTGGACTTCTAGCTTCCAAAACTTTGAGAGAATAAATTGTTGTTGTTTAAGCCACCTAGTTTGTGGTACTTTGTCATGGAAGCCTGAGGAAACTAATACAAATGGCAAAGGGAACTCCAGGGCACATAGTTTGAAGCATCAAACCTGGCAGGTCCTGGCAGTTAGACTATACAGACTCTCTACCTTCCTATTGAGGATACCACCAGGCATTAACTGTGCTAGAAACCTTTGTCAGGTATGGCACAGCAATTCTTGTTTAGATAGTGGATGCAGGCAATACGATTCAAGAACCCCTAAGTGGACTACGTTACACTCAAATTCCCAAACACATCCAGTCAAAGAACCGCGCTACCTTTATAGCCAAGAATCCCCAGCAGTAGGCAACTCTCTGGGGCATTCACTGGGCATATCATGCCCTGTATCACCCCCAGGAAGTAATTACCACTGAAAGATAAACTGTACTATTAAAGGAGAACCTAAAAACCTAAGTGGACAGCTCAGACTCCTAGTGGAGTATACACTTAAGCAGAAAGTATGGGCTCTAAACATGGCAATTTCCCAAATGGGTACCTTCCCTATGGATGAAATTATGAGGTTTATTTATGATGTTGGGAGATGGGGGGATAAGAGGCCCAGACTAGCTGTATGAGACCAAAACCACATAAAAAAAAAAAAACCCTTCTTACTCTTCATTTTCTCTCACGTACCTGAGGAACTGGGCTGCTGGAATTTATGGTGGCAAAGAGGAGGTGGGGGTGTGAGACTCTAACCTGGTGTTTCTCTTACCATCTGCTTAAGGCTGCTGGATCTGGGAAGTTATGGATATTGATGATAACATTTATAAGTATGAGATGATGGTACATAAGGTGGGTCCAGGTGTGGCCCACATACCAGAGGAAAGATAATGATGGAAGGATGGCACAAAATGTATGAGGCAGAAACCACTGAATGGTTGGATGGTATATCTGGTTGAATAATGTTAGTTAACTATGATAAGGATGGGGGAAAATGGAAAGTAGTTGCTTCAGGGATTGGTTATACTGATCACATGATCATGGAAGGAGAGCAACCCTGGCTGGTAGGGAAGAAACACCTTAGAACCTGGAGGTCTAAGGCAGGTCAGGGTTGGTGGAAGGGATGATTAAATTCTCTTGGCTCTTATCTGCTGAACACCTGGTCTGGTCTGTCATCTTAGAATCCTTTGGTAACCGTGTTTTAGACTATCGCTACTGCCCTCAACCTAACTACTGGATCCTACTCTACTGGGGCACCTTAAACTGGGGACTGCCAATTTTAGAAGTGGATGGCCTCCACCCAAGATGACAGAATAAGCATAATTTTCTGGACAATAATGATTTCCCTTAGCCGTATCATATTATTGTTGGTACCTAGTAGTCTGCCTGTATTGATTGCCTCAGGAAAAAAAGAACTCCCTTGTCCACTTTTCCCAGATCATAGATATAGCTCTGAAACTGACTGCTGGATTGGTCATCCTCAACCTGACTATGCCGATAAAAACTTAACAGCTGCTCCTTTGTACACTTCAGAAGGTAGCATCCCTTCTACAGGTCCTTTCTGGCATTTAAAATCCCTCACATTATAATCCCACATTTTAGACTTGTAAGAACTGAACCCTGACCCCAAGACAGCAAAAGCTACTGCAGAGGTGACTACAACCAAGAATAAATTTTCTAGTGTGAGTAGTGAGGGACAACCACATCACCCAGGATCTCCTGTCAGCCAGAGACAGCAAAGTGTGTGTGACTGTCAAAACCTCTTGCTTCAGTTGGATTACTGAACCATGGAAGGTGAATAAATTGATCTCCGACCTTAGAGAGAAGCAGTACGACTCTTTACAGTTAATTTCAATGGTATCTGCAACATATTTACCTGGCTTGACTCTGGAAGGGGAGCCTGGCTGCAGTCTTCTCTCAAGTGGCATTGACCATATTGCTGGCGCTCATAGCTATGATCATGCTCATCTAATGTTGTCTAAGACAAATAGAAAAGAGGAGTACAATTAATTAGGGTATGTGATGGGATAGCCTACGCTTCAAAAAATTCTTAGGTGTTTACATGAAAGGTTGAGGGTAGGACTGTAAGCAAATATCTCTGCCATGACACACTGGTGGACTAGTGCATCTGAGTCTTGGTGCAATGTCCTGCAATTTCTTTTAAAGCAGGGAGAGACAAGCCTGGCAAGGAGCTGCCATGAGACAGCTTCTCATGCCTGTCTTGTAGAAGACTTCTATAAGGAAATTTCTCATCCATCTCCCTAGTCTCAGTTAAGTGCAGGACTTTCCACTTTCTCCTCTTCTCCTTTCAGATACAGCTGCAGGCTTCTGTGTAAATCTGAGTACTGCTTGTGTAGTTACTGGTGGCCCTTCCACAGCACAGCAACTCATCACCTGTGCCATCTGTCATCTGACCCCTCAAGTTGTATGTTGTGCTGTGGGACTACAGACAAGTGGAGGTGAAATGATGCTGAGCTTGCTTTTGTTGTCTTTATAAGTAATAAACTGTGAATCTACTTGGGATCATTGTTTCCTTATCAGCCAAATTTATCGATGTGTAGCAATCCAACCTAGCAGCCACTCTGTGAGCTATCATGCTGCTGCCTGCAGACTGATGGACCACCTAACAATTAGGAATAAAATGAGTAATCTGGATTAAAAATAAAGTTTGGTGAAAGTGGTATCAGCAAAATGACAAACTAAGAAGCTCCAAGCTCTGGTTACCCTACAAAAAAAAATATTTTTTAAAAAGCAAACCAGAAACTGGTTGGTGCGAACCAACTTTGTAGGCATTCTGGAATTCAGTAAAATGTTTACTGTAACCAAGCAAACACCAATCAAGAAAAAGCCATCTTCAAATGATAGGAAACTTTTGTGTTGTTTTTACCCATGCTTGTACCACCCACTCCCCAGCACTTTACAATCTTGGTCATGAGCAGGAGGTACTTGGTTCCAAATTCTCCTCTTTAAATGGGAGCGAACAAAGCAGACCTTATTTGAAAATTATTGTGTACATCTGTTCTAACCTCTCTGGGGGTATCTGAAGGGCTGATGTAAAGTGCTTGTTTCACATAACTCCAAATGCAGGCAGGAAAAGCAGTGGGCATTTTTTATATAAGCTACAAGGTAGACTATAAACATACAGATGCCTGGGGCAATAGATTACAGGAGAGACATACAATACACTATCTGAGACCTGGCGGAGAAGCTGAAGTGAGACTCTGAGAAATCAGGAGATTCAAAGCAGCCATGTATACAGAGAACTTAAAAAGCCATGCACATACCCAGGCAGGATGCATGCTCAGCAAAGTCCTTAGAAGACTTTAACCTTTCACCACTGGCTGCTCTCTAGGTTCAGAGCAAGAATTGCTAAGTTGTGAAGGAGTGCCCCAGCCAGAACCAATCTAGACAGATGAGACAAGATAATGTTCTCTCTTTTTTGGTTTTGTGCATGTGTGTGTGTGTGGTTTGTTTGTTTCAGCTCCTTGCATTCAAGGAAATCTTGATCAAAATTTAGCTGAACATGAGATAAAGGAACTGAGATATCAGTAATTACACACAACATGCAATAGTCTTTGCAAAAATATTTTGGAGAAGTCTCAAAACAAACAGACTACTGCAGCTTCAACCAGAAATCTGTGGATGGAGGAGAATATGATTCCTAAAGTTACAACATTATAATAGTCAAATGCTCAATAGTCAATAAAAAAAAATCACAAGGCATACAAAGAACCAGGAAAACATGGCTCATTGAAAAGAACAAAATAAATGGATGGAAACCATCTCTGAGGAAGCCCAGACATCAGACTTATTAAACAAAGACTTAAAAATGAAGGTCTTAGATTTGCTTAAAAAGCTAAGGGAAACCATAGGAAAAAAGCTAAGGGAAATTAGGAAAACAACATTTGAAAAAATCAGAATATCAACGAAAAGACAGAAATTATAAAAAAAAAAAAAGAAACAAATTCTGGAGCTGAAAAGTGCATAACTGAACTGAAAAATTCACTAAAGGAGTTCAATATCAGATTTTAGCAGGTAGAAGAATCAGCAAATTTGAAGATAGGACAATTGAAATTATTTATCTGAGGAAAATAAAAAAGAATTAAAGAGAGTAAACAGAGCCTAAGGGACTGTGGGACACCATTGAGCAGAGCAGATACACATCATGGGAGTCCCAGAAGGAAAAGAGAAAGAGGTAGAAAGATTATTTGAGAAAATAATGGCTTAAAACTTCCCAAATATGATACAAGATGTTCATGTACAAATTCAAGAAGCTCAACAAACTTCAAGTAGGATAAACCCAAAGAGACTCACACTGAGACACTTTATAATCAAACTATCAAAAGACAGAGAGAAAGAATCATGAAATAAGCAAGAAAGAAGCAACTCATCACATACAAGGGATTCTCAATAAGATTAACAACCAATTTCTCATCAGAAACCATGGAGGCCAAAAGGCAATTGGATGACACTTTCAAAGTGATGAAAGAAAAAAAGCCCCTGTCAATCAGCAATTCTCTCTCTCTATAGATATAGATAGATAGATCTATAGATATCTACATATATATATATGGCAAAACTGTTCTCCAAAATTGAGGGAGAAATTAATACTTCCCAGAACAACAAAAGATGAGGGATTTCGTGACCACTAGACTTGCACTACAAGAAACACTAAAGGGAATCCTTCAGGTTGCAATGAAAGGATGCTCGAAAGTAACTTGAAACCATATAAAGATCCTCACTAAAGGTATATACACAGGCAAATATAAAAGTCAATATTAACGTAATTTGGGTTTGTAACTCCATTTTTTATTTTCAAAAGAATTTAAAAGACAAATTAATAAAATAATTATAAATCTATGGTATTGGGCACACAATGTATAAGGATATAATTTGTAAAAATAAAAATAAAAAATAACTAAAAATTTTAAAAGATTTTAAAAAAGCAAAAAGGGGGCTGGCCCTGTGGCCAAGTGGTTAAGTTCGCACGCTCTGCTTTGGTGGCCCAGGGTTTCACCAGTTCAAATCCTGGGTGTGGACCTAGCACTACTCATCAAGCCATGCTAAGGTGGCGTCCCACATGCCACAACTAGAACGACCCACAACTAAAAACATACAACTATGTACTGGGGGGTATTGGGGAGAAGAAGGGAAAAAAAAAGATATAATTTGTGACATCAATAACATAAAGAGGGCACTGACACTCTATAGGAGCAGATTTTTTTCTATGTAACGGAAGTTAAAGTCTGTATACATTTGATTAGTTTGTTATAACTTTAGGTTGTTATATGTAATTCCAACAGCAACCACAAAGAAAACACATACGTAATATACACAACAGGAAATGCTAAGGCAATCGAAACATATCAATACAAAATATTAACTAAACAAGAAAGAAGACAGTAATGGAGGAAATGGGGGACCAAAAAGCTATAAGATATACAGATAATAAATAGAAAAATGGCAGAAATAGGTCCTTCTGTTTTATTTATTTATTTTATCTTTTATTTTTTTGAGGAAGATTAGCCCTAAGCTAACATCCACCACCAATCCTTGTCCTTTTGCTGAGGAAGACTGGCTCTGAGCTAACATCCGTGCCTATCTTCCTCTACTTTATATGTGAGACACCTGCCACAGCATGGCTTGATAAGTGGTGTGTAGGTCCGTGCCCAGGATCTGAACTGGTGAACCCCAGGCCATTGAAGTGGAGCATGCGAATTTGACTGCTGCATCACTGGGCCAGCCCCAAATAGGTCCTTCTTGATCAGTAATTACAATAAATGTAAATGGATTAAATTCTCCAATCAAAAGGCAGAGATTGGCAGAATGGATTTCAAAAAAATCATCCAACTATATGCCATCTACAAGAGACTCACTGTTGATCAAAAATACAAATGGTTTGAAATCTAAATGATGGAAATAAAAGATACTCCATGAAAATAGCAACCAAAAGAGAGCTGGAGTGGCAGTACTCGTATCAGACAAAATAAACTTTAAGTAAAAAACTGTTACAAGAGACAAAGAAGGACATTATATATTGACAAAAGAGTAAATTCACCAAGAAGAATAACAATTATAAATATATATTGCACGAAATAGAGCCCCACAATATATGAAAAAAATATTTAAGAATTGAAGAGAGAAATAGATAATTCTACAATTATAGTTGGATACTTCAATACTCCACTTTCAATAATGTATAGAACTACCAGACAAAAGATGAATGAAGAAATAGAGGACTTGAACAACACTACAAAAGCAATTAGATCTAACAGACATATACAGAATAATCCACCCAACAACAGCAGGATACACATTTTACCCAAATGCACATGGAAGAGTCTCCAAATAGATATGTTAGGTCACAAAATAAGTTTTAATAAATTTTAAGATTGAAATCCTATAAAGTGTCTTTCCGATTCACAATGGAATAAAACTAGAAATCAATCATATAAGGAAAACTGGAAAATTCACAAGTATGTGGAATTAAAAGATACGTCCTTAAGCAACCACTGGGTCAAATAAGAAACCACAAGGGAAAATAGAAAATTCCTCAAGACAAATGAAAATGAAAACACAACATACCAAAACTTATGGGATGCAGCAAAAGCAGTGCTGAGGGAGAAATTTATAGCTATAAATGCACACCTTAAAAAGAATGGTCTCAAAATAATAAGCTAACTTTACATCTTAAGGAACTAGAAAAAGAAGAGCAAACTAAACTCAAAGCTAGCATAAGGAGAAATATTAAAGAGTAGAGTGAAGAAAAACAAAATAGTGAATAGAAAAACAATAGAGAAGATCAAAATAAACAAAAGTTGTTTCTTCAAAAAGACCAACAAAATTCGTAAGTTTTTGGCTAGATTGACTAAGAAAAAATACTAAAATTAGAAATGAGAGTGGGGACATCACTACCAATTTTACAGAAATAAAAAGTATTCCAAAACAACACTATGAGCACCTGTATGTCAAAAAAAT